TTAAAAAGTAAATATTATCCAGCGAGAAATGAGTCATCGAATTGATGTCGAATCAACGTAAATATGATAATTTCAACATCAATTTGACGCCGATTTCGACGTTTAATTGATGATTATTTCTTATTAGACAATTTATTCTCATAAAGAATAAAATAAACTGTATGTTTTTACTAATTATATATACCAAAAAGAAAATGTGAATTAATTATACAAAATATATCATCTGAAAAATAAGCAAAAATAAAAATTGTATTGTTTAAATGCTCAAAAAATATTCATACAAACGAGAAATTTAGCTTCTAAAATCAGGAATACATTCGAAGCTTGTTTGTTTATGTTAGAACAGAATGTATTCATTGTATAAAATTGTTAATTAATGTTTATTTTCTACAAATAAGACTTTTTTTATAACAAATTTCCTTGTACAAATACTTTTTGCTCTCACTGTACGAGTATATGTGTATATCCATATAAAACTTTTTATTACATAGTTATTATGCAATATTAAATTTTATAAAAAGTATAATGTATAATTTAATATTATACGTAAAGTGCTTAAGTGTATCGCTAAATGATTAGATTAAGAAAAAACTAAATACGTAGATAACATTTAAAATTATATCATATAAGAAAATATGTATATTGCTTTGCTTAGCAAAAACAGGAATACAGTGCATTTAATAACAAAAATAAACATAAATGGAAATTAAAAATAAATTTATATAGTAACCAATAATAGAATATAATTTATATTATTAGAAAATAAAAATAAATTTAAATAAATATAATATACGCAGAGGAATATCCATATTAATTACAAACTTTTTAATTCAAATGAACTCTCTTTCCTAATCAAACTGTAACTGGCATTATTTCTGTTGTAGCGATACACAAATCGTACCATTAATTAACGAAACGGACAATATTAAGTCTATTTGCATTTAGGTAAGCTGCAATTATCTCTCGAGCGTTCTACTTACCTGACATTGAAATCCCATCGCATCGAGCAAGTTACGATACCTAGCGGAGCGCGAAAGCGAGGAGATTACGGATGTTATTGCATTCAACTAACTTTGCACGATTCCCGTTAGCTTACAGCACAAACTGTAGCGTATGGTATGGTTACCACTAATTACGTTGTTAGACTCAGAGATTAACCAAACGTTCAATAGCTACCTTGTGCGAATCAATCACACAACGTGTACATCGCTTTTTTACATTGCGATCTCAATAAATTGTCATTATTTTGTATATCGCAACGTCCAAGTGTGTGTGGCCTTTTTACCTCAAATTATCGCAACATCTAAGTGTGTGTGACCTTTTTATCTCAAATTCAACAAACAACGATTGTATGAACGTGTACCTAAAGTGTGTAATATCGATCTTGGCGTGCAACCGCGCGCGCGCGCACATACACAGCGACTAGTATTCCGTTTCAGGCACGATTCATTAATAATTGAACAACTGTGATGCCAATAGGAGAATGAAAAACGCGTCGACTGATGATTGCAGTCATACGTATGCAATGACGAGAGAGAGAGAGAGAGAGAGAGAGAGAGAGAGAGAGAGAGAGAGAGAGAGAGAGAGGAAGATCCATATTCATTTTACCGCGATTAATTCTTTTTTTTTTTAATTTTCACGTTATAGATGAATTCATTCCGCAAGAGAAAACGAAGCGTAGCAGCGACTAATCCCTTTTTTAATTTTTACAATTGACTTTCTATATATTCTATATACTTTATGTATTTCGAATTTACAATTATTATTTATTTATTCTATATATTTTATGTATTTCGAATTTACAATTATTATTTATTTTTATTTTATGTATTTCGATTTCACTGTTTAATTATACTTGGTAAAATTATCGTGTACAAGAATGTAATTAAGCGAAAAGTATTACAAATAGTTTCAACGAAGGTGGTATGTAACTTTGGAGAATTGTATTTGACAATTCATCGATTCGGTGATATACATATGGAACCGGAGAGAGAAGAGCGGTCTCTATTTACCGTATCCATAGGTCGGTCATACGTCGTAGTTTATGTACATGTATATAAGGAAGTATATAAAGGAAGACACGCGAATCTACATTCGCCGAGAGAACATTGAAAAGAAATATCGTTTCGACGAAACATTTTATCTAATCCCACAGAGACCGCAATCGCGTCTTTGTTATATTCTTCCGTATTTTTCCAACAGTTTTTGATATATACCGAATATGCAGGTAGTGAACGATTTGAATGAAATTTTCCCCGCCACTTGCTCACGCTTAACATCTGTCTCTTAAACATTCGAGCATATTCTGATCGTCGAGCAGAATCCGCGTGAAATAAGTTCCAACAAGACAACAATGCTGTTGTATCGCCACGCTGTTGCATTGAATGCTTTCTCTTTCGTTTTTAATTAAAATTAAAGTGGAAATTATTGTAACTTTACGAAATAAATTTCTACCGCATATTTAAGATTTAATTCTGTATTTCTATTGTAAAATCATCGACCATGTTTATGGTGCGAAATAATGCTGGCTGAACGTTTCAATAAAATTAGCCTGCAAAATATAAATTTTATTTTTCTTCAATCAGTTAGTTTTATTAAGTTATTAAATCAAATTTTAATGCAATATGCTTTCTCCATTTGTTTTCATATTAACAAATATATACCTACATATACCTATGTGTACGATTTTATATTAGTACTCGAAATATCGCAAATAATACATTTGTGCAGCTAAACTTTTCACATATTTATCATATGAATATTTTCAATCCAAATAAACAGTACGTGAGACATGAAAAATCTTCATATTTCGTTATTCAAACAATGATGCGCGCATGATATTATATTATCGTAATATGAAAATTATTTTCTAGCTGTAGAATATTTTCAGATGAGAAATTTCAAGAGATACGAAAAATTATTAATATCTTTTATAATATTTAATAGTCCTCTTTACATATAAAATGTTTAAGCTTATTCTGTTACTATTATTAAACTTAAATTATTATAACACTAGTTTACAGCAAAAAGTTACTTGGAACCATACAAGGTGTTTCTTATAAATTTTTGAAAGTTGAAAACGTGCCCGTGATGCCGTAAACCCTCCAAGGGTCGACTCTGTCAACTCCGAGTATCTTTTTTTCTTGTTCAACGTTCGGTGAACAAGATAAAATGATACTCGAGTTGACAGAGTCAAGTTTTAAAACGCACCTCAGAATATCAGGTTTCCGAAAGAATTGACATTTAATATGCAAAAAAAATGACTTTTTGCAATATTTGATACTTTAAAAAAAAAAGGTTAACGTTATATTAAAATTCTAATAAAAAATTTCATTTTTTTAATACTGCAAATTTGACTAATATTATGTTATTTTATTCCTTTTTAAATCTATAATGTACATCATAATCTATCTTATAAAAAAATCAACTGATGTCGTATAGTAGCAAATCAGTTTTTTTGTCGCGCGTTTCTTCAATTTTGGATTAATACGAAAGAAAAGCTCAAACTATATTAAGGTCTCAGGATTTAGGTTTCAGAAGTATATCAAAGGTAATTTCATTTTGGTCGTTAAAATATGCAGCATCTGTCTCATTTGTTATTCTATATGTAGTCCCTCATAAATTTAATATACTCGCTTTTCCATGTGAATCATTGCGCATTCCCGATGGAATTCTGTAGTCATTTTCATGTGGCTCCGAAATCGTCATTTTCCAATTTACTAACCTTATTCATTAACGCGTTTTTCATTAAATTGTCGTACCAACGTATTTTTTTTTTATTCTTTTATATTGCAGAGAAAAGTGTTTATATAGATAACTATAAGTGTTATAAAGGTAAACATATAGTATATTTTTCATAATAATGTTAATGTGTGTTGTACATATATTAGTAATATGTCAATAATCATATTACATTAAAATGTGAATTTTTATCAGGTAGTACTAATAAATACCATAATATATCGAATAATTATGATATCAAAAGCTATTTAACACTGATTTAATAATTGCGGTAGGAAATAACAACACTGCCGTTGAAATGGTAAAATAATTGAATGATTTGTTACTAAATCTCGCTTAAGTCCTCTTTTGTATTCCCCTGACAAATTCACTCTCGGATCCAAGAGTATAGGGGAGACCGGGGGGCTTGTTGTCGTATAAGATTGTTAAATTGCTTATAACTCAAACAGGACATGACAGAAAAGTCTTTTTTTTTTACTATAGATAGCGAATATAATATTAATTTGTTGTGTAAAATGGTTTGCATCACAAGCGTTGTATATATTATTTATAGTAATTTTTTAGAAAATGAAATTAGTAGGAAAATTTTTCTTATCACCTATTTTGTTGTCTGACAAGTCTCTGGCATTATTAATCGCGATATTCCTATGTTCATAGAAAACGACATGTTTTACAAGATCTTTGCTATAATTAATTAATCATTATCCTGACAAAGTTTGTGAATACAATCTCTTTTATTAGAAATGGCTGTGTGGGGTAAATTGACCAACCAAAAAATGAGATGAGATTAGGTGACAACTAATTTTAATATCTTTAAAGAACACATTAGAGAATATACTTACAAATATATTATATTTCATATAGAGGTATATGTTTTTCCATTTTTCATATAGAGAGAGAAACTACAAAAACAAATTACGTATTTTACAATTAAAATAACTATTTTATTTTAATACCATAATTACTATTATTTCTTAAAATATAGAACTGATATTAAGATAAAAATTATATTTTTTTATATATGTTGTCCATAACAAATATACTACTGCCAATCCTAGAACACAGTTAATTGTCACATTTTCGTAGCTTCATTTAAAATTAAATAACTTATTTTTACGATATGATGAATTCACGTAATATTTTTTTAATCCCCCCTAAAGGGGGGATGTAAGTATATTATAACTTATATTTCAAAATTAAGCATTCACTTTTATCTAAAAATCACTAATAAAAAACTATAATAACCGACTCCGGTTTCCACGTTCCGTGCTTCGAAAGAAGTTTGTCCGCGCAAGCATCTTTAAAAGATAAATAGAATAATAAAAAAATGAATTTTACAATAAAAAGAATGAGAGAGAGAGAGAGAGAGAGAGAAAGAAATAAAGCAGAAGTAAAAGAGATAAAATAGAAATAACGCATCAATGTTCAAATATGAATTATTTATATATGAACGAGTATTTTCATGCATGCTGTAGATTAATGTTAGAATTGTATATGATAAAAGCACATCTTTTGTTCTTCATCTATTGTATACTTTGTTTTCTTGTATCTACTTTGATAAAAGGATTATGCTTTGATAAAAGGATATAAATTCTTTAGATGTTACAGAACAAGTTAAAAATTAACAACACACATAGAAAGAGAAAAACTTCAAGAAATAAGACATATAACTGGGAAATCCATTCAGAGAATACTAGTTTGAAATAGCATGCAAAAAAACATTTCATATGAACGAATAAAAGTAAGAAAAAAGAAATACGAAGGGGCATCATATTGAAAATATGGTGGTCGAGAGATGTTTACAAAAAAACAATGAAAGATGCTGTTTAAATACAAAAATAAAGAAAGCTAAAATGAATGAGACGAACGTGACGAACAAAAAGAATGAAAAGACGTCAGTAAAAAGAATATTACAAACTCAAAAAACGACGATAGAAAATATGAAAAATATCATGTGAAAGATAAAGTTACTAAGTATTTTTAGTTTTTATTTCAATTTATAAATTTTTATTTCTACTTTTTTTCACCTGTGATAAAATTTATTAGAATGCAAAAATCACATATACTTCTTTGCATAAATAATTATATTGTTTGCATAAATAATACACATATATAAATAAAAATAATTGTATTATGAATCGTCAATTCGTAATTATAATTGTTGTAATGTACTATTTGCATTATTTACATACGCTTTCAATCAATTATTCCCACAATGTAATAAATGTTTTTTTATTCTGTATGAGTCAAATCTAAATTCTCTCTCTCTCTCTCTCTCTCTCTCTCTCTCTCTCTCTCTCTCTCTTTGATATTGTTATATAATGCAGTGCTATTGTCAATCTTCAGTCTCATATGCAGTTAGAACAAATCCCGAAAATGTGAAACAAAAATGTCAAGATAAAAAATCGAGATAAAAATGTGCGCAAAAGTAAAATGTCATGTACCTTCATTTGATACCCTTTTCAAACAAGTTAATTTTGCGAGCACCTTATGACAGAGCTGTCATACATAAATCGTGGGATGAGTCAAGCTATCGAGACACCAGAACCTACGCAAAGCAAACTTGTGTACACGTGCAGAAAATAATTGTAAATAAAACAAGAGATGCAACAATTACATTATGTAATACATATAAGGTTATATACATTTATATCGGATGCAAAATAAAAGTCATGCTTTGTGTTTGCTATAAATATATTGTATGTAAGGCTATGAAAAGATATCTATGTAAAGAAATGTGAACTTACAAGAGAACCTCGCGAAGTGTCAAATTCTGATTTTAATGAAACCTTGTGTACTTATAGTTTACATAAAGAGATAAATTTAGAAAATATCAGTTGCGACTATAAAACAACGGTTTGAAATCACCCCTTATGTGTAAAGCGGTTTTCAGCTTTTTCCGTTATATCTCGAGAAGTATTCGAGATATCAAAAAAAATATTTTACACAAAAGTTTTATAACAAAATTAGCTGTATTCATTCGCGTTAATATTTTTTAAATAATTATTTTTGGAAAACAAATTTTAAATAAATATTCTAAAAAAATATCTCTGAATAAATACAGGCAATTTTATTGTAAAACTTTTGTATAAAATATTGTTTTATATTTTGAATAGTTTTTGAGATACAGCGGAGAAAGAGTCAAAACTGGTTCTCGATTCTCAAATAACATATTAAAATCTCTTATATTGTACAAGAATCATTTATACAAAAAAATTAGTTTTCAATATTTTCTTAATTAAGAACTTTTATTTTTACTTCAAATCGTTTTCACTAATAAATATAAAAAATATGTATGATATTAATAAAAATAATTACACTTTTGTTAATTAAATAATGCTAATATTGTTAATACTATCTCTTCTCTAAATTATATAAATATGTTATCTTTATTTATCAGATAAGTAAATAATTTATTTCAATATCTGTGTGTGTGTGAAAATATACCAAATTTATTGCTGCATAATTATATGCGAAAAAAATTAGTTTAATTTATTAAAAAGTAATCTAAATGAACAATTCTGGTGAGCTGTTCACTGTAGTCTAATTACTAGTAGTAGTAGTCTAACTGTAGAGAATTTACTCACGTTCAAGGATTAACTGTGAAACTGCATGTAAAGTTTTATTTCTCAGTTGTTTTCAAGATATCCTGTGTTTTTATTGCTATCATGTAAAAATGTTGCAAACAACACCATTAACGTGTCAGTCTTAATGCACTCATGTCAGAAATTTTATTACATTATATTACTATAGCCTTATGTGAGAATTGAATAAGTGCTAATATAATGAAAAGCCCTCATTTAAAATAAAATAAAATAAAATAAAATAAAATAAAATATTTGCGTAAATAAAAAATTATTGATATCGAATACAATTTTTTAGTATTTCTATTTGTATTTTATTTCTATTTCTACTTTATATACATTTATATCTCCATATCTTATAATTTATTTTATAAACATTTCAAATTAATTTTCATTAATAAATATTTATATTGTTTATAAAATGGAGTAGCTTTTAAATATATTTTTTCCTTATGCTTAATTCAAAGGACAAATACACATTAGTTCAAGCTTCTAAAATGTTATAAAATTAATAATATTTTCAGATTAAGGAATATGAAAATTGTTTTGAGCTGAGAGCAAACATATAAGATAGATTTTAAATCGTAAAAGGAAAGAAAAGCTATTTAAGTGTTCAAGTTTCTTATAGAAAAAGATTTAGAGAAAATATGGGAGAAAATTACCCAAGTTAGCAGAATTCACGTAGTTTTCAACTAGTGCTATCAAGAATATCATCTAACATTTTTATTTCTATAAAACTAGCCAAAAATTTTATACAAATTTGTTTTCGTTAGTATCATGATGTGTAGAAACAAATGCATGTGGATGTGTAACCTCAAAATATTATCTATTTAAAAAAATATAATTAAAAACATAATAAGTAACCCTTATCCATTATGAGTAATATATACGACAAGTTTAAACACAAATACGAGACCTCAAACAAGTACATGACAGCATTGCAAATTGCTCGTTTCAATCGCTATTGCAAATTGAAACAATTTTCAACAATAGTCAACCAATTCAACGCGACATTACGGAAGCGTGAGAAGGCAATTGACAATTGTTACCGCTAAACAACATGAATTTCACGAATGCAACAAGAATATAGCTTCTACTAATTCGACCAACGAATTCGAGCTTGAAATTAAATCTAAAACAGCGTGAATAAGAGAGCCATTGTAATAAATCTCATAAGGACACTATGGCGCTCGCACATCCTGTCGCGTTGCATCCTTTTTTCCCGACAATACGGAAATTAATGGAAGTGGAACGAGAAGCGAGACGAATGCAGCAAAGTCGGTACGGTATCCACATCCCGCTTACGTGGTCATGCATGCCTGAAGCGGTCGGCCACATCTTCGCGATAATGCGGCGGACACTTTAAGCCCGGTGCTATGCCGCGGCACGTATCAACGCTTTCCATCGTCACCCATTTTCCCAGCACCATTCGTTTCCGGAATGAAAAACGTCGCGCGTCGCGTCGCGTCGCGTCGCGTCGGTCCGCTCCGTGTCATGGCTCGCCATCGCCGAGCTCGAGCGAACGCGACGATGAATCCCGGCCGCTGTGCCGGTTTTCACGGGTAAACCGCAAAGTGCTCGCGCATTATAAATTTGCATAAATTAAATTCTCCTTTGAATCGAGGCTCGCTTAGGAAAGTGAAGAAGAAAGAGCCACTCTCTCTTCCCGCTTTTCATCATGTCACCGTGTCGTCGTTTCATCTCGAGACTCGCTTTTCGTCGCGATATCCCCGCTGTCGCGTCGTTTTTCCCTAACTGCTTCACGTCCTTTCATCCACCAGCCTTCACAATCCATTTCTCGTCCCGTTCCTCCTTCTTGTCCCTTTCTCTTCTCATCCTTGGAACAACATGGCTGCGCCTACCGTAGTATCTATTGCCATCGTTTCTCCGCTCTGGTATATAGCCGCGACTTATTTTTCTCCTTCGGGACCGGGACCATTGTTCTCCGTACGACGCGACGCGACGTACCGCGATCACGGTGTATTCCCAGTAGAATTGAAATTGCCGCCACCCGCCGGCAAGTCGAGCCGACCACAATTCCCTGGTAAACTCTACAGCAGGGACATCCACCACATCAAATTGTTAAGAAGGAAAAATTAATCATTACAAGTGATCTATGATGGGCAAATCTGTCGAGCATCGAAGATTTTTTTTCCTCTAAATAGTCGACATTGATTCTCCCACGATTATCCAAAAAGTTTCTGAGCAATTAGACTCCAATTAAACAAACAATGTTAATGTTGTACAAATAATGTTAAGTGGAAAAGCCGCATACGTCAAATTAACATGTATGTACCTACATTTGTATAAGGTAATACATGTTGTACATTTGATATGTGCACATAGCACTTCGAAACTAATTTATTTGACAAGCGCCATAAAATGATCTGCGGTGTACCTCAACCACTCCCTCCAATTAATTAATATTTTACAAAATGAATTAAACCTCTTGATAGATATAATTAACGATAATATGAGAGAAATGTTGCCGTCATATATGCGCAGGCAGTGTGTGTTTATGTCAGCAAATATGACTTTCGACCCAGTCCACTTTTTTTCGCGCTACGCGAGATTGCTCTCATCAAGATTTAGTGTTTCAATCTTGGATGTACGACATTGCGCTTCTCTCGTTTTCGTTGACTCTCAAATCAAGGCCTCTCATATACCTTTATTGCTCCCCATGGCATTTCTGTTCTTAACTGTCGCACGGTAATTTATTCGCAACCTCATATTCTGATATTTTACATATGCGTGTACAGAGGTATATTGAAAAACTTAATTTACATGTAGGTATATCTTGTATAATAATACAAAACGTGTGAATAAAAAATATATACGCGGAAAATATCAAAAAGTATCTTTCCTGTTATAATTGTCAACATTAATAGCAACATTTCTCAACAATTACTGACGAAAAATATTTTTTCCCATTCTCCCCCCCCCCTTCCGCCCCTCTCTCTCTCTCTCTCTCTCTCTCTCTCTCTCTCTCTCTCATATGTTATCTTTCTCATATCTCTAAATTTATACCTTTATTATATCACAGCACCGGATGATATACATTTTTAATTCTCATAAAAGCCGTCCTCATAGAAAAGATTACTAAAAGAAAGAAAGCTATTTTATGTGTGACAATATATTAAATTCACTATTTATATTTTTATTCGTTTATTTATAGGAATAATTTTTTACGTAATTTTGAAAAAATTCAGTGATTAACTCCTTAACTTATTTGCATAAAAGACTATAGAATGATTAGCGTACAAAGATAACTGTATTGAATTAACAATGTAACTGTATTGAATTAAGCAAATGTGCGAGCAGCAGAATACATTTGAATAAAATATAAAAATCTGTCGTTACTGAGCAAGTCTTATTAGCTATAAATGCAACGTTGCCTTGCACAATCAGATCAACAAATTATCTAACAGGAAATACTTTTATTAAGATTAATTACTACTTGTATAATAAACCGGAAAATAAAAATGAGAATACGGAAACTCCGCATAATTTAGAGACCTGAATACGCGACACTTGAAACACAATTAGAAATAACTTTAAAGAGAATATGAATTTTTTTTTTTTCATATTTGTTTTAATTTAGCATAATTTGTGCAAATTTAGAAAAATAAAACTTTGAAATATAAATTTTTTTAATAACATTTTTACGTAAAACGTTTTAAAAGATAATTTAAAAAACTCGAGATATCGCCACAGTGATACTATTACGATGATCTGGTTAAATCCGCTTTTGCAAATTGCATAATATTTTTTATTATTACAACAATCTGTATATACTATATATGATAGAATCGATATAAAATTATTATAGCAAAAAGTTTTCAATATAGATGTGCTAAAAATGGTTTTTCAAAGTATGTAATTTCCGTCGAGAATAAGATATAAAATTCATTGCTTAATGTTGATATTGAAGATTATGATTGTCGCTTCCAGTGATAAACATATAAATATTTAAACAGGCATGGCGACATTATACGATGACAAGCGTTATTGCAGCACCGTCGCCAAACATACGACTCGACGAGATTTGGGTATTATTCGAAACGTACCTTGTCGCTCGTTTACTCAGTGCCAGGCAATACCAAAGTTACAGCTTCCATTTCAAGCGATATGACACTTCTCATAAAGATAAAATGGCGAATCATATATTTCCACGCCATTTCATATTCTCACTTCTATCATTACTTAGATATTTCGCTACCTTATAACATCTTGCCGTATTAAAAAAAGAAAAGTAAAAAAAAAATAGGGAAGGACACTACTCGAAAGGGGCATT